GTACGATCACCACTAGCGTTAAGAATGAAGAGAGTGCAGTGACCTCCAATAGCACAACCTATGCGACACCGCCGCCCCCTAGAGTCAATCACGTCCTCCTCACATCACCCTCACAAGCAACAGCACGAGAAGCAGTAATCAGTTTACAAAAGATGCATCTATCTGTATTAGGTGTGTACGAACCCTAACCACATGCGACACTTAACTCAAGCCAACTCTCTCTCTCCTCTAACGATCCACCCACCCCCTAACCATGCAAGAAGACCAGCTGGCACGGTCTATCTCCCTCCTCCATTCCCCACGCTCCTCTCCTCTCAAGTTCCCTGCCAAAACAGACAAGCAGGCAAAGCAATAAGGTAGAAAGCAAATAAACCCTCTCTCCATGCCTTCCAATGAATCAAGAAAAGAAAAACGCCACCAGAAAATGCTGCAAACAGAAATTCGCAATACCAATTTAATAATCCTAACATCCACCCCACCAATTTCACAAAAAAAAATCCCCTCTCTCTTGAGGGGTAGTAAGCCCAGATGAAAACAAGGACAGCCCGGCACAATGCCACCATGGGCATCGCTATCCATTCATCCAGTTCGACCATCTTACACGGTTGTCCTCCGCAAGGATCGCAAAAGCAAAATATGTGCATTAAAGGAGCGGTATAAGGTCCCAGCGCTTTTTGAAAAAGAAAGTGAAATGTAATGAGAAGGTTGCGCTGGGATTCGTTTTTATGTGCAGTGGCGCATGACCTTGAATGTATTTTCGCTTTAGTATCTGTTGGTACTGCCAGAGCTGATTTCTGCCCGCTTCATAGGTGGAGGTGGGGGTGGCTTCTTTGCTCTGCTTGGTGGTGGAGGAGGTGCCTTTCTACCGTTCGTAGCATTGTTCAAGGTCGAGTAGCTAGCGGTTCTGCTTCCTACACTTCCATGAGAGGTTGCTGGACTGACGGACCTAGCACTATAAGATCGATCCGGGCTGGCGCTGTTCAACGTAGAGTCATCAGAAGGATCACCGAAGACATCAGATCCACCAGTATTGACTCTGCTGGAAGGCCGAAGTTGTGCTCGAAGGGAACCTGGATCTTGAGGAACAGTTTGCTTGCGATAACCGGAAACGGGTGTGGATTCACGGTATATGGCAATTGGACCTTGGAATGTGGATGCACGACCAAAGTTGGGTCTGCCTGGAGACTCGGCCTGAGGATATTCGTCGTGGGTATCCAGACGGGTATCGAGGCGCGATGACGATGGCACACGGCCTTGTGATCTGATGGTAGGTCTAACTTCTGGTTCTGGCATTGGTGGGGCCTCCTCCTGATATCTATCATTGTAGGAATGAGCCGTGTTTGATCGGGATCTCGGGTTTGGTCGTCTCGATTCACGCTGAGGGGAGGTTTGTCTGTTCTTGTTAGCAATGTACGCCACAGATGAGTATGGACTTACCCAGCTGGCCAGTCTCTCTTCAATCGGAGGAGCTCTTCACGACATCTGTCATAGTATTCGAGTTCGGATTCCAAGAATGCTCCAAGATCCGCAACACTCTCTGCCTCTGCCTCCTTGATGTCCTGCATACGTCTGAAAACATCCTCATTGGATTCTTCGTATTTGGCCTTTTGGGAGCGGAGTTCCTCTTCAACCCGGAAATCCTCTCTCTTCGCCTTTTGCATCTTTGACAAGGACGCATCGTATGCCAGTCGACGTTGTTCGAGCTTCTTTCGCGCAGCCTGCAAAAGTCAGTAATCGCCGAGGAAACGTCCGCAGACCCGTACCTGATATTCCTTCATCATCGCCAGTGATCGCTCCAGAGACTCCAACCAGCCTGTTGTCACATTGGCCACATAACTCTCCTGGGTCCGGGCAATTCTCTCATTCGCTCTACCCATGCCTATTCCAGTCAGTACCATCCTCTACCATCTGGCCAGATATACGCACCTATGAGACAATTTCCAAACTCCGAATCCGGCTCGAAATCCTCGCCGTGGTGTATCATCGTCTGGCCCAAATAACCAACTGGCAGAACCTTCTCCTTATCCTCGACTTCGTTGCGTCTCGAGAGGGACTTGACGTAGACGGTCATTGACTTTTGCAACTTCTCCATACCTGGGAACAATCAGCGTGCGTCATTCCGCAGATCGAGTGGACTTACCTTCGTGTCTCAAGGCCATCTCCATCTCCAGAGCTTTGAATTCGTCAGACACGCCGGTCTTAGACTCCTGTCCCATCTTCTCTCCAGCCCATTGCTTGACCCGGTCGAGCTTCTTGTTGATATTCATCTTTGCGGTTTATAGGGATCGAACTGGTGTTCTCGAGTGTGTGTAGGTAGCTTCGAGGAGGAGGGAAATCGGTGAGGTTGGCGGGGTTGTTGTTGGTTGTTATTGTCGCCGAGAGAAGAGCAAGCCACCCAATTTGTGAATTTATCCAACGGATGGGAAAGTTCTTGGGCCGAGCAATGTCACGCTGTAACAGTGGCAGAAGCGACAGTTAGGTGGGAGGAGGGAGAGATCAGAAACAGCGAGCCCCAATGCTATAGAGATTTAAGGCCGTGAGAGAATGAGGTGATCCGAGCAGTCCTGGCAGAAGTACCGTAGTGGCGGTGGAGGAATGGTCGAGTCGAGTTGAGGAGGTTGAGTTGAAGATCGAGGGTAGGGTAGGGAAGAGTAGAGTGGGAGGGAGGGCCGGAGAAAAGAGTGGATTGGGAAGGCAAGTGGGTTGATTGCGTTGCTTGCTTGCTTGCTTGTCTGTCCGGCCGGTCTGCAGGTGCTTGCTTGCTTGCCTTGCCGGGTTGGCTGGTATGAGTTGGGAAGGGAAGGCGAGGGGAGGAGAGGAGATAACGTCGAACGAGTCGTCGTGGTGCTGATATTATCAATTCATGCGGTGAGTTGGAAGGTGCGCGGCAGATGCAGATGGATGATGAGAAGAGGTGCAGCAGATGCAGCAGATGCAAACAGAAGAAGAAGGTGCGTAGTAATACAATACGATGGATTGCATTCAAGTCAATAGATATTTTAAAAGTCGGGGGGCGAGATGAGGCGAGATGGGGTGGTATTGTATTGTATTGAATTGTATTATTATTTTTGTTGGCGGGCAGTCTTCCGTTGACTGGGTGTTATCCCGCCTGTACTGTACCTTTTTCCCTTGCAAGCGCGATTTCGATTTGATATCTGGCGCCAAGACCCGCCACCTGGGCTTGCATCTGCATCTGCATCTGCATTTGCCTCCCTCTGCTGCTCTCCTCTCCTCTCCTCACCTTCCCCTGTCTTGCCCTATCCTCTCCTATCCGCCCCCAAAGAATCATCCTATCCTATCCTATCCTTCCTCGGCCTCCCTATCCAACCATTCCCTATGCCTCAGGAAAATTAACCCAGAAAACAGCAAGTCAGGAACCCAGACCCCGATCGCTCACGCTACCCAATCGTTCCCGTCCCACTCCACAGACGGCGTGTCACTTGGTGCAAGTCTTAGTCTAAGCCACCATCTTGGGTGGATGAAATGAAACTCTTTTTCTCTCTCTCTCTCCGTTTTGGCTAAAATCTGACGCGGCAAAAGCCCTTTCTTCTTCTCCACGACGCCAGTCCACGCGCGGAGACACGAGGGAGGACAGGCATGTAGAGGCCTCTTCTTGACCAAAGAAAGACTCAAGTGGCAACGCTTCATCCTCATCAAGCGCCTTCGATTCCCTCTTCTTCCTGTCCTATCCTCCATTCCCCCCCAGCATGCATGCACCGATCGTCCCCGGGAGCCGGTGATGGGAAACCTCCTGACAGGTCGACTGAAACTTTAACTTGTGCAACAACAATGCAGACATCTACCCTCCGTAGATATATTTAGAGGTCCACTTGGGGTTTCAGACGAGGCCAATCTGGGGCCGACCTACCCACAAGGTAGACTCCGGAGCTAAACATTTGGGTGAGGACGCCGTCGATGACGCCGTTGAGGACTTGTAGAGTTCTAGAGCTGGCCTTGTACGATCTACTTTACTAGACGTTGAGCACTTTTATAAGGGGGTTTTAGGGTTGCCTTGTATCAGAAAACCATGAGGTTTGAAAGAAAGAAAGATCAGACTGAAAGCTTTTAGGTTCGAGGAAATATGTTATACAAGCCATCCCATCCATAACGAGTAGGTTCGAACTGTAAACGGAAAATAGAAATGCGGGAATTATCCGTTCATGATGTCACATTGTAACAGAAATCCATTCGATGACGAACGAACGACCTCCTTGACCGCTCTACAGAGTAAACTTTCTTTCATAGAGGTCCTACCCAGGTACTGTAAATATGACATGGTCGGTCGACTCGGTTCGTGATTGACTGAGTCTGTTCCGAACAATCCGATCTCTCTAGATATTACCCCATTATTCGCCCTCGTGATTCGATGGATAAACGCCTTCCGTTTATAGGTAGAAACATGTACGGACGGACTCTCCTGCGTGACTTCGGTCTCTTGCGAGTTGCGAAGTATCCGTTTCCACCGTATTGGTCGTACTTGTGTCGTGTTGAGGAGGGGCTGTTCCGTACCCCGCGCTTCCGTATCCGAAATTCTGAGTGTTTCCCAAGAGAGCGTTTACGGCCAAAGGAAGGGACCTCGTTTGGAAGTCTGTCTGGGTTTGGGGTAGATCATGAGATCAGTTAGCTTTATTGCTCTTGGTTATGGAGTTTCCAGTCTTCCTTGTGAAGTGCCGAATCTGAGTGTATTCGGTGGGGGGCAAGTACTGAAACTCCGAACGAACTAGGGCATGGATGTTCATGAAGCAGAATGAGCTTTGATTTATAACAGCGTAGTAATTACAGGTTATAGAGACTTTCAATACGTGTGGAGCAGCGCTTCTTGATATTCCAGCAGCCCTTTACGGAGTAGTTAGTAATCTCTCAGACACCCTGTCGGTTATTCACGGCGACAAGATTCAAGCCAGTGCGGGGCTGATGCCATTTCAAAACCACTCAGTTTTTTGTTCCTCGTATATTCCGAAATAAGAAGTGTGGCTGACATAATAAGTCAAACAGACTTCGTCTTCGTGGCTCAGTCGGTAGAGCGTTGGTCTCATAGTCTCATCTATGATCTAGAAGGTTCAACTTCAAGAGTTATCCAAAGGTCCAGAGTTCGAGCCTCTGCGAGGACATATCATTGTTTTGCTTTTGGTTCTTTCAGTTTCATGTTGTGTCAGCGATGCATCTTTACCCAGGTAGAGATAGAGCAATTCCTGAACGTCTGTCTTTTTGACCTTCGGGAATATTTCAGTCGTGAAGTTTGGTGAGGTGGGGAGCTGCTTAAGCGAGTTTCTTCTGGAGATTGGACCTTGGCTTCGACTAACTCCTAAGGGACAATCACAATACAGTACCTAGAAGTACCGTACAGAATAAAACATTACTGGTTCAAAGAGAACCCATTCCCTTTTTAAGATAATTTCTAGTCTTGACACACTTCCTGAGTGACTTGGCAACCTTTTGCTGTCTATTTGAGGAGTACGTACCGAGAACCGAGTGAATCAGTAACAGCGGCTTCACACCAGGCGACTCTTCCAGTACTGAGACATACATGTTTCTTTCTTTTCCAGATTCTCCATAGCAGCTCGTTCGTCTTTTCATCAACCGCTAAAAGATTTAAATCAGATGTCACTGTTTACATTCATACAACTGGAGCCGTTGCTTCACTCGCTTACCATATTCCTCAAGATACACCACACTATCCACCAGAGAATTCCTTCCTCTTTACAAACCCCAAATCTCAACAATCCAAACAACCCCAAAACTCCTCCGTCCCCATTTCCGTTTCCATCTCCACACACAACCCATCCCTACACAAGCACATACTTCCCCCCAATTCCCCTCTGCACAGCCTGCCTCTCCCCAATCCTCTCAATCCACCCCAAAAGATGTGGAAACGCACCCATCTCCTCATCCGTAAACCCACTCCCCCTCCAATTCTTCACCCAAGCCCAAGTCCCCATATCCGCGACCGAATACTTCCCCTTCCCTCTTCCTGCGAGATAATCTTTCGCTTGGCCCGTGTATTTGCCCGAAAGTTGCAGTTCGAGAACGCCGAAGACGCGGAAAGTTTCTTTGCGGAAGCGGGTGATTGCGACTGTGATATCGGGATATCAGAATTAAAATTAGAATTATCTCCAGGGGGTAGAGGAAAGAGCGGAAATGAGGGGGAGGAGAGGGGGGACTTACAGCTACTCTGCTCCTGGGCTTTTCGAAAGAATGTCATATTCCCTTGATATGGCGCACCACTACCGTGCCAGAAAAACAACCACTGAATCACCTCACTCTGTTCCAACTCGTCTTGGAAGCCGAATTTCTTCTCAACATCAAAGTGCTGTAAAAGATACAAGAGTTGCGCAGAGGTCTCCATTACAGGATGTGGGGGCGTTCGAGTATTGTCGACGAGAACCGGTATTCGACCTGGTCAAAGTTAGCTTAGGACGTACCTTGGGGAAAGAAAGTGGGGAAGTTATACTCACCATTTGGATTCAAGCTCAGAAACCAACCTTTTTTCTGCTCGTTGGTTGAAGTATCACTGTGCAAAGCGCTGACGTTAGTATCGTATCAATCGAACCCTGCCAACCAGCAGGCCAGAATCAGTTTAGTAATACTGACATCAGAGTTGTGGTCCATTCGGTGCCATATGTTGTAGCTAGTTCTTCAAGGAAGATCTGGACTTTCTGGCCGTTGGGAGTGTTCTGCGTGAGGAGATGCAGGCCCTGTTTCACGACGGCCACTCAGTTGGAGTCATTTGAGGGCGTCTCGGGGGCTGGTGCAGAAATCCTGACCTACCTTTGCCTCTTTTACATCTGCTGGAGTTTGTTCATGGTATGTCTGGAAATTGGAAGTCATTGTGAAGGATTGGTACTAAGAACAGTGTCAAGATTGCACAAGTGGTGAACAAGGGAAAATTCGACTCGTTGTATGTAGCCTAGATCTCGGATGTCTTCGGGGGAGACTCCGAGGTAAATGTATTTAATTCAGTCACGTCTAATTTCAACTTTTGCTGCGCGCTTCATTTTGCTTGCTGTGATATCTGAAAATGCCTTCATTCCAACAATATCGGCTAACTCCGAGCAAAGTTCCAAAGTCCAAAAGCCTCCATGATTCAAATGTGATATTAGCGATAGTCAATAAACACACCGCGGCCACCGTAAGAGAATAAAAGCCGAAGACCCCATCGCATTATTCCGACACTGATCCAGGAATCGCAATCGTCCGATGATCAACAAGATAAGCATTTATTTACTAGCATCGCAGAAAGCCGAAGCGTAGGAGCGATCCCCTCGCTTATTCGCAATATCCCGACGGCAACAAAGCAGAAGTCCATGATCATCAGCAACACAGTTCAATGTGGATAACTCGTCGTTACAGTAGCGGTTACATTTCCAAACATGCAATTACTGGTCTCTGTACTTAAACAGCCGAAAATCCATCTCTCTGATTCAATTTCCACAATCAGTTATCACGAGCCTAAACTTCACCAAACACACTTTCGACATACATACATCTGACGCCATGCAACCATTCTACCTCACAGCAACGGGGTACAACCTCAACTACCTCCCAGAATACATCGCTCTCCGCCACGGCTTTTTCAAAGAACAAGGCCTAGACGTAACAGTCAACATCCCCACACCCTGGGACGGGGTCCTCGACGCTCTCGCAGACGGATCAGCAGACATGGCACTCGGCGGCATCTGGGTCCCAACAATGTACCGCAACCGGGTCCAGAACTACACCGTCTTCGCACAGATCGCCAACCGGTGTCCTCTCGCGCTCCTCACCCGCGGCAGTGTTCGTCAAGATTTCAAGCTCTCCGACGTAGCGGGGAAGACGGTTCTCATGAAATCCGGGGGCGGCGCTAGCGTCGGTCTGTTCTTCAAGATGCTGTTGAGGGAGAATGGAGTGGATCCGAGATCGGTGGATTATATCCAGGACTTGGATGGTGTTATGTTGGGGAACTTGTTTCAGGGTGGCATGGGCGATTATTTCGTTACGGATAACCTTTCTGCGCTGGCGATGGCGTCGAGGAATCCTGATGTTGCGGTGCAGATGGAGATGGTTACTCAAGGAGACGTCCCCTGGAGTGTGTATTACCGCGAGACAGAGGGTATCGCTCCCGAAGTCCTGGATGCGCAGAGACGGTTCTGCGTTGCTTTGAAGAAGGGGATTGATTGGGTTCTTGAACGTGATGCTGAGAGTTTCAGTGATGAGCTCGCGGATTTGTTCCCGAATGTTCCGGTGGAGGTTGCTGTTAGTGTGACGAATCAGTTTCGTCGCGAGGGAATGTGGACATCGACTGTTATCCCGCAGAAGGCTTTTGATCGTTGGCAGGTTGGATTGGCTGGTGCTCGCTTGGTCAAGGAGCCGCTTGTTTATAGCGAGATTGTCGATGACAGGCCTGCTGTTGAAGCAGAGGCTGTGAAGGAGGCGAGAGTGAGAGTGGAAAGGACTGTGGAAACTCGGCTATGAACAGGTGGAATTGGCTGACTGGGAAGTAGAGGTATCACGCCTATGCCCGGTGTCAGAGCTCTTGGCTGCTTCAATACTGTGTAATTAGCGCTCCTCTCTTTGTACTGAATTTAAACCTTTTGCAACGTTTTTTGAAAATCTCAAAAGCTTAATTTGAAAGAATTTGAAAACCTGCCTCTTGCAGTAGATGCATTTTCCTGTTTGGAGGCTGACTCTAGTGATGAATTATGCTTTGAATGATGGCGTGGTTATGATGGCTAACCATTCATTATCGCCAACTAAAATTGTCCGATTCATGTATTGTTTTCCATGTATACCTTCTTGTTGTTATCGATGCCGAAATTGGAACGTAATATCCACATACTGCTAAGTCAGATTTTGCATTTCAGGGTAAGGAGGTAGGTTTCGAAGGAAAATGTCTCTCTGCTCATGGTCACCACGATTGAAAGTCTTTCAAACCATAAATCTCATCTGCTTATAATTTAATATTATTGCTCAAGTCATTCCTAAATTTTCATGTCCTGTAACAAACCCCGCCATCTGCATAGGATCCGATCCCACATCCCCGAGATCACCAAAACCCATATAATCCAAGAACGGCCACTGGGCCGCCGAATTGAGCATCTCGCCAAAAGCAAAGTTGTCTACCGAGAGCATACTCGACATATTATCAGTCCCAACGTCATTCTGTGCAAACATTCCATCTCTCGCTGGCTGCAAATGCTGCAACAGATCTTGGACCTGCTTCTCGAAGTCGACCCTGTTCTGGCGGACCTCATCAGCGTCGTTGGTGAGTAACCAATCGATTGTGGCCGAGGAGAGGGTTTCGAAAACGTTGCGGCAACTTGACGCTCCAGGGAAAGTCTCAGACATGGCGGAGAGGGTAGTAGCGCACGATTGAAGAGTGGAGATGCTGCTTCGCACGGGATTGCGATCGCGGATCTCTTTGAACTGCCAGATGCTGTAGATGACTCCTAGACCGGCCATGAAGAGGTGGTGCACATACTTCCACATGATGTCGACCTTGCCTTCTCGCTGGAGTGCTTTGATGTTGGCGATTAGCTTACAAGAGGCGTCAAAGGAAATGGATATAGCTTCGTTGGAAACGGCGAGGACCGTAGATTTCGGGCGGTATAGCAAGAGAAGTGCGTTATTATAGATTGCATCCCAGTAGTCCTGATTCGCGAATATGGAAGATGGATGGGCTCTGCTGAGTTCAGGAATGGTAGCATACCATTCTTGTAGACGGGGTTGAATGTCCAAGATCCAGGTATTGTAGTTTGGTTTCGGATAGGCTTTCTTCGTGGCCCAGCAGAGACTGTGGTGCACATGTTTGATCTCAGACTCAAGTTTTGACAAATCGAATAAGTGGTTGTGAGCCCTCTGACTGTGAATGTCGAAGTTGTTGGCCTCGGGATCAATGGGGACAAGAGGTGCTATCCATGGATTGGGAAGGGGGACCCGGGCGCTCTCATCGATGATGCCAAAGGGACGACCAAGTGTGATGCACAACAAGCGGTCAAACTGATACGTAGAGTACCAGAGCCTTCGGCGTTCGTTCAGCAGGTTCGAATCCATACCAAGAGCCTGTTCGTCGCTCTCCCAATGCAAGCCTATGTCGATACATAATCGCAAAGCAGTTCCTGTCAGATGCCACAAG